ATTTTACGCATCGTGAGTCACGTGAGCAATAATTACGGGTATGTCCTAGATTTTGACAGTTTGTACATTGTAGGATTTGACGATTGTGCCGTTTCGCTTCAATAACTACTTTTGTTCTATACAGATATTCGACACTGTAAATATCTGTATTGTTTTTGTTTTGTGCCAGCTCTACGACAAACATGTTTAATGGTCGTTTAGTTAGATATTGTTTCAGATTATATACTCGTAGCACGTTGTGTCCAAGATTGTTGATTTCTTCTTTCAACATTTCTACATCAATACTTTAATGCAGATTTTTAATTACGATTTTAAAAAATCGGTCTTGTTTTGGTTGATATGAATGGAGTTGCGTAACCTTGGCCCTTAATAATGCAACGACTTTGTTGTAGGTTTGCGCGTCTTGTGTATTGATTTTCACTTGATTAATTCCACAAATTTTTGATTTGTATAAGTTAGGTACATGTAAGTCAAGGTGTGGTATTAATGGTTTTATGTCAGTTACTCCGTGTACGAATATAGGCTGGGCAGTTGGCGGCTTTTTGGCTGGCGGCTTTTCTGCTGGCGTTGATTGAGATGGTAGAGATCGTTTGAAGAACAATAATTTACTAATATAAGCAGAACAATAATTTACTAATTTGCAGAGTAGTGAATTGTTTCTACTGATATCACATTGCAAACTGAATATGCTTATTGTGTCTACGTATCCATTAAGTTAGATTGTTTATTATAATCTATTAAGTATTCTAGATTTTATATTAAAAAAATGTGAATAATATATTATAAATTTCATTTCCGAATCTCGTTTTGGCGCCCCTAAAGGCGTGCGCCTGCATTTTTTGCATGCATCGCATTAATGAGGTTAATATGGCTAGAGTTTATAATTGGGATGTTAAGAGGAGGCAGGCGACTAAGGCTACGTAGGAGGTGGATTTGTTGGTTGGATGACTTTTCGCATAGTTTGTATTATATTTATTCTTGTTTCATTGCCGTCTATTGATTTATAAAATGTATCTGTGAGCTTTTTTGAAATATATCATTAACATATATCATTTAGTATTTTGGAAGGAAGCTAGACGTGTCTTAAAAAGCATATGCTTCTATAAGAACAACCATCAACTTTTCAAAATTGAATTAGAACATTGGAGGGTTTCGAATATATTTGGCAGAAAATAAAGTGTCCGGAAATTAAATTTTTGTCAACTCGTAATTTTAATCAAGACCCTCTTGAATTTTTTTCGGTAGTATTAGAAGTCACGGGTTTAATAATCGCAATCCTTCTTGCAGTGAGTGGTTTAGCAATTTTTGAAAAATTTTCAATGAATCGTCTGTAATAGCCAGCCAAAAACGATTTAATGTCTTTAGGACATTTGGGCACAGGAAAATTAGTTATAGCTGCAATTTTAGACGGATTGGGTTTAATACCCTCAGAAGTGATTACATGTCCAAGGTAAGACACTTCCTTACACAAAAAAATACATTTTTTTGGGTGAAGTCTCAAATTACTGTCTCTCAAGCGTTCGAGAATTTCGCGAAGACGCTTATCGTGTTCATTAAGGGTATTTGAATAAATAACAATGTCATCCATATATACGAAACATTTTAGCCCTTGCAAACCAGAAAGAACGGAGTTCATTAAACGCTGAAAGGTAGCTGGAGCAGTTTTGAGCCCATAAGACATCCGTTTATATTGATAATGAGCCGTCTGCGTCGAAAAAGCAGTTTTCTCTTTATCTTCTACCGTCATAGGAATCTGATGAAAGCCAGATGCTAAATCTAAAGTGGAGAAGTATTTAGAGTTCCCTAACTGGTCCAATATATCGACAACATTTGGAAGAGGAAAGGAATCACCAATCGTGACTTCGTTTAGTTTTCTAAAATCTACAACTAAACCATTTTCAGATTTCTTTCTAACTAGGAGCAAGGGAGCGTTCCAAGGACTCGTTCTTGGCTCAACAATATCGTTGTCTAATAAGTCCTTCACTTGTTTACTTACTTCATTTTTGTGCGAATTAGGCAATCTATACGGTCTGACATTTATAGGTAAAGTTGTAGAAGGGGTAATTATACTATGCTGAACAGAAAAAGTAAAAGGTAATTTATCGCCCTCTACATAAAAAATATCATTAAAGTCATTACAAATTTGGTATAAAAGTTCGCGTTCTTCATCATTCAAATGATTTACTTTAATATCATTCAAATTTTTTTCGATTCTATCTGACTGAAAATTTTGGGTTGTTTGAATATTATTTAGTGAAAGACAATTTACTAAAGAAGTTGTGTTGCTCTCTGGCAATCTACAAATTTGAAAGGTAGGGATTTTAAGTTTGATCTCCTTTTCGTTACAATTTATTATACTCAAAAAACAAGAATTATTAATATGAGCAACAAGGGTATTTCCGACGCCTTGACTTATCTCTGACCGTTCAATGACACTTACGCAATTTGACCCAGTTTTTACTTTAACTATCGATTCTGATCTAGAATTTAGTGTTACAAAATTTGGAAAATTTAGAGAGATGGGATCAGAGTTCTTAAAGTTTATACTTAAATCGATGATATTTATAATACCCCCATAAGCTTTTAGAAAATCAATCCCCAATATTCCATCACCCCTGATGGGTAATTTATCAAAAACAATGTAAAATTTATGGGTTATTATTTTATTACCCAGCAAAATTCTTATATTGGCTGTCCCTATTATTTCTACGGCGTTCCCTGACACGCCAGTAATTAAAATTTTATCTTCTTTATTAATAATAATGTCTATATCATCATTCAAGTTAGAAACCTTAATAACACTGATCTCAGCTCCTGTGTCGACTAACAAATTGATCCTATCTTTCGTGGTATCGAGAGATTCTAAATTTATAAAGGCTAGATTCTGTTTGTCAACAAGGCAAGAAATTTGTGCATTCTTGAACTCTCTCGCTTCAGAAGAAGGTTCAGAAGCACTAGGTGTTTTGAAAGTTGAAGTACAAGGACGGGCCTTCATTAAGAATCTTTACGTCTACATTGTTAATTTTGGAACGCTGCTGTTCATTGTACATCCCTTTACGACAGTATCTTATGGCCAATGCCTTTACAGTAATTACAATGAACAGGGGGCTCAGATTTAATAGGTTTACGATCAGATGGACGATGAGGAGGGCTAATTGGTTTGAATGGTTTATCAGAACGACTCGTTCTTGAAGTTTTTAAAGAAATCTCCTCCTCGATGGCTATAGAAATGGCTGCATGCAAGTTTAGAGGAGATTTACAATTTACAATGATTCTAAGGTCGGGGTGTAAACCTTCTTGAAATACATAAAGGGCTTGATCTTGGAGGAGATCTGTATAATAAATATTCGCTGCAGGGTTATTCTTTTTCTTTATAGTGGCGCTTGTAAGCTGTCTTAAGACGGCTTGAAAACGCAGAGAATAAGACTGCACATCTTCATTTGGTTTCTGGCAAATTTTATTAAATTCGATCTGTAGTGAGGCTACAGCTCGGGTGTCAGAAAATATCTCCACCAAGCAAGATTTTAATTCAGAAAAAGACTCTATTTCTTTGTACTGGGTTGCTTGAAAAGCTTTCCCTTCTAATTTAGTGAACAAAATGAATTTTAAGAGAGCAGGGTAATCCCTAGGGTCAACGCTTTCAAAAATATATGTTAGAAAATTTAAAAATGGGGATAATTTCTGGTTATCGGAACCATCAAATACCTTAATAATATCCATTGCCCTATGCAATGTAAGAGCATATGTTTCTTGCATGTTTAGGTTTGAGTTTTGATCAGAAAGACAGAGAGAAGGAGCAGATAAAAATTTGGAAGATGATATGGGTTTAGGTGAGACGACTATACTATTAATAAAAATGGCACTTACTAGATCAAGTACAGAATTTTCGTTGGTTGACTGGAAGGATAAGTAGCTCTCAAATATCGACTCGGTGGATCTGCTTATTACACTTTGTCGTGGCAGCAAGAAGTTTTCAGCGTCACGTTTATACATTGACCCTATATTCAAAAATTAGATTAGTAACATGTTAACAGCAATAACATATAAAACACATATAAAAGGGTAAAGAATAGATACAGAATGTAGTTATATATAAATAATATGAGAGTAAATATAATATTGAGATTACATTAATTCTAAAGGTTTGTAAAGTTTTGTAAATTAATCTCGAGATTTGTAAATTGTTCCAAAGGTTTGTAAGTTAATCTAAAAGTATATTTACTTACTCTAAAGGTTCGTAATTGTTCTAAAGGTTGGTAATATAATCTAAAAATTTGTTTCTAAAGGTTTGTAATTACTCTACAAGTTTGTAATTGTTCTAAAGGTTGGTAATATTATCTGAAAATTTTGTTTTTAAAGGTTTGTAATTCTAAAATATGTTAATCTACAGGTTTGTGATAAAAAGGCAACGATACTTAAAACTATAATCGGTGTCTAAAAATTCGAAAACAAACTATAACTATGGATACTCAAGTGTTCTTCCTTTCTAGCTGATGTAATACACCTTGCTGCACCTCGCAATCGCTTGGCTTCAAAGCGTCGCTCGGTGGCGTCTTCCAGATGGCGGACAGGATGACGCGTGCGCGTCTTAAATAAAGCTTACTTCCCAGTAAACCACAGAAGTTACCACCACGTAACACATTTTGTAACTTTCGTTTCGAAACTGATGTTAAGTAAACGAACCGATGCTGCTACGTATAGTTGTGAGCTTTAACCACCGTCGACGCGTTTAAACGTTTACAATACTGCTTTGTTCATATCTGTCGGTACGTGGCGTGGTACGTTGCACGGTCACATACATTTGCCTTTGAACATAGCCGTGAAGTGTTTTATGATCGAAATGTCAAATTAAATATAGGTTAACTCGGTCAGTGCATCGTGGACGCATAATTGAGTATTTTATCGTGTATGTTTGAAATGCAAGATATTTCCTTTATTGAAGCGTTATTTATTAATTGCTTTTATATTTAGTGCGAAATCAGTTGTAGAAATTAGTTAACCAGTCAGCTGGAAAAGTATTTAATATGAAACCGGCAAACAAGGTGAGTCTAATTGTACTGAAATATATTTTAATTTATAAATTATTATAATAATGTTTAGTCATTTGCAGTATATAGGCCGCCTTCAATGCAAAGTCTGTTCATGTATTGTGATAATTGATTTGTCATGTAATAATTGAAATTTCTAACACACCAGTCAGAAACATAACCTCAATTCAGTGATATATGAATAAAGAGAAGTAAGTTATATAGTTTTATACATATTCATTTTTTATAGTTCCATTAGTATCAGAGCTATTTAGCTAAGCACAAACTGATATAAGTTGGTTTTCAATTGTAGAGAAAATTACAGTGCTGATAACCCCTACGAAAATGGATTTCAAACTAGGGAAATCTTCTCCAATAGAGAAGATAAATACAAAGTTAGATAATATATTAGAAATTATTAATCCTTTGTCACCAAACAAAAAACAAGCAAGGCTTGAAAACATGCGAGAAGAAAAATAAGAACACATATCGATAAATAAGAACACATATTAAGATTAAGTGTTGAAAAGAAAATGAATTGTGGAGTATTTCTTAAGTGATGATATTGTATTACAGAATAGGTATATTAATGTTTTACACAAAGAGAATTTTAACTAATATGATTTAGTACTAATTTGTAATGTTTTACTTTTAGGAAATTCACATATTTAATACGAAACCAGCAAAGGTGAGTATAATTGCACTGTTTTTTTTTTTTTAATTTACAAATTATTATATTAATGACTAATTAGTTATTTTCAGTATATAGGTCATGTGCAATGCAAATTTTGTTTATGTATTGTGATAATTGATTTATCACATAATTATTGAAATTTCTGACAGACCAGTCAAAAATCACATAACCTCAATTCAGTGATATGATATGAATATTATAGGTAGATAAGCGTAATATATATGGTATCATACATATTCTTTATAATTTCATTAGTATCAGAACTATTCAGTTAAGCAAAAACTGATATTAATTGCTTTTCAATTGTAGAGAAAGAGTGCTCATAACCCCTATGGGTTATGTCAAAATGGAATTCAAACTAGGGAAATTTGCTCTAATCAAGAAGATAAATTGTCACCAAAGAAACAGGCAAGACTTAAAAACATTCAAGAAGGAAAACAAAGAATGCACCGGATATCACACATTATATGGATTAAGTGTTGAAGAGAACATGAATTGTTGAGTATTTCGAGCCTGATGATCTTGCATACAGAATTGGTATATTAAGGTTCTACATGAATTTTAACTAATATGATTTAGTACTAATTTGTAGTGTTTTACTTTTAGGTAATTCAGATCTTGAAAATTAATAGGATAAAATCAATGCAAGAAAATTGAGTGTGTGTTCATGGAATAATTATCTCTGTCATATGATCGTAGGAACTACATAGTCATTAACTTCAAATAATGAGTATGTTTAGAGGTAATGTTCACAAATGACTAATTTGTTCACAATGTTTTCAATTCAAAATTTGTGTACAATGTTTCTAAGATGTTTGGTTCTATTTTAGATACATTAACAGATGCAAGTGAGTTGAACATATTTAATGCAAGACTTAACTTTGTCAAGTCTGATTTAACTGAAGTTGCCAAGAGAGTTAAACATAATACATATTATGAATAAATAAATAATTATTTTTTTAGGCTAACATTTTATGGACTATCAAATTTTAGTTTTCTAATGTTAACTATGTAATATGTAAATTTTGTATATTGTAAATGATAATATTTAATAAAATTACTAAATATCCGAAATTATTATTAATATTCTATATTTGCAGGAAATTTAATTAAATAAGTATGTAACATAAAAGACACCTACGCGCTTTTTTATTCAATTTAGATACGTAGCAAAAATGTAACCGCGGTGTATTAGTGTGCAACGAAACAGCCGTTACGTTCTTGCCCGCGAAATAGATGCTTCTGTGTGCCTCCCAGGTTACGTACCTGGTTCGTGCGGACGTGCCAGCGTTACGTAACGTTCATGGGTTTGTTACGTTTTGTGGTTTACTGGGTTGATATGTGGTGAACTTTCCTTTGTTTCTCCTCGATCCTCCAGGCCTGTTTTTGTGTTGGATTATTTATTTTACCGCTCGCCACCAATGTTGTGCTTCGTATATTTGACTGCTTTAACAATGATATACTACAGCTTGTAGTTGCCTTCAGCGGAGATTATTTCGAGGATATATAATTATAAATTCAAACACACGAAAGTCCTTTTGACTTATAAATAATTTATTAACACTAACAGAACAACTTTTGATGAATATTAGATTAGTAGTTTGTATAATAATGTAATTAATTGAATTTAGTAGTTTAGTATCGCCGCTAGTTGCCAAGAAGAGAGTGAGTCCTCGATGTGCCTCTGAGGTCCCCCTCCTTCGGATATCTTCGGGTATCTCCGATATTCTTCGCCTCTACTAGCTAGTGGTGTGTATACTGATAGAGTATTCGATATAGGAATATAGTGTTGCGCAGCGGGCACAACACAGTTATAATTTCTCAGAATTTATCGAAGAATAGATAGTTATATATGAAGGTCCGGGGTTAAAAAGGTCCACCAGCTATGTGTGAAAAACAAAAAAAAGTAAAGTTAAGCTTTGTTTAACAAGGAATTGAAAAATAGAGGAAAAAAGATATATAACCAGCTATAACCTTGATTCTTATGACTTTGCTATCCATAATAAAGGTATTTTCTTCCGTTGGTAATTTTTTAGCATTAGTTAAAAGTGTAATTATTTTGTAAAATACATTTAAAATTAAAATAAGACATTAAACCTGTTTGCCATGTGGCCGTTCCAAGTTACCCTCTCCATGGGGTAAAAAGGTCTAGATAACAATTTTTTGAAAGACAGCAAAAAAAGCACATTTCTACAATGATGAAGTAGCTGGCAGTTTTACATCAGTAGCAGTCAGATAATTGTTCGTTTGGAATGTGTTTATTGTTGTGATATAATTGGTTTGCTTTTCATAATATAGTTTTTATTTGCTGAACGCCAAATTGGAACTTTTGTGCCTCGCCCTGCTCTACAGATTTACTTTTTATTAAATTTACTTCCATTTATCGAATGTTATTTGAAACTGTTCAAAAAGCAGGTCAAAGAAGAAATACTTAATTCATTTTCTATCTCTCCTCGCAGAAATTTGAAAATTTTGTATAAGCTCAGTAGTATTATTTACAATTATACATAAAATCCTGAATCAAAAAAGAATCTGAAAAACTTAAAACGTAATAATAACGTAATAAGTCGAAAGACCAAAAAAGCCTCGGATTGGATTATACCATGTGTTTTATAGAAAGTATATAAAACTTCCAGTTTGATTGTTTTAATAAAATATAGACAAAGTAATGGGATTTATAGCATTCAAACAACATATCCTTATACACTAAAAGTATTAATTTTTTTGATTCTCTAGAAATTGTTTCGAATATATCTAACTTAGCAAAACAACGTTTGCCGGGTCAGTAGTATATATATATATATATATATATATATATATATATATATATATATATATATATATATATATATATATATATATATATGAGTAAGTTCTTCAAGGGCATACATCAAATAAAAGGCAAAGATTTAGAAGTTAATCTTTAATTTTTCCAAACGTTTCGACATAGTATTTTATGTCATCATCAGTGGATCTACAGAATGAATATTGAAACATTAATATAAACTAGGAAAAAATGACAGAAATTGGAAAAAGAACTATAGATATAAGTAATATAATTATAACAATAACAATTATACTTAACAGATAGATAAACAAGAGAAATGAAAAGTAAAAAGAAATATATACAAACATACAAAAGCGTAATATATATACATAAATATACACACAAACAAATATGTATATAAGATATACATGTAAAAACACGTACACATATGCATATATACATACGAATAATACGTATATATAAACATATACATACGGACATGTACATATGTATAAATACACATATATACATACATACACATACACATATACATATATACATACATACATATATATATATATATATATATATACATACATATGCAATACATACACATACACATATATAGACAATGTACGTGACAGAGTTTATGAGATTAGGAGGATGTCACGTACTCTCTGTCACGTACAATAGACTCAAATTTCTCAATAATAACAATAATACCTCTTCTTCTTCCACCAAAATCTCCAAAGACAATAACTTTATTGGTAATGTTTGTCTCCCGTTTATTAAAGAACTCTTTCCCATTTGGAAAAAACTGTTCCACAAGGTCGACTTAAGATTAATTTGTAACATAGACTTAACCCTTAGCTCCTTTTTTTCCAACCTCAAATCACCCACTAGTTTGGACGCACATCAAATATTGTTTATAAATTAAAATGCAATGATTGTGATTCCATTTACATAGATGAAACTGGACAAAATTTAATAAAACGACTAAAACAACATGATAATAACTCTAAAAACCAACGACAAAATCAAACCATGATAACAGAACATATAAAAAATTTTAAACATTATTTTGACTTTTATAACGCTAGTATACTTTATCACGAACGGAACGTTATTCAGAGAAGATTTGCTGAATCTTGTCTAATCATCATTTCCAAATTTTGTATTAATAAACGCCATGATGCCTCCTTACTCTGTGAAAATTATCAGGTGATACTTAATAATATTTCCAAATTTGTTTCCTCCTAACCTACGTAATTCCGAACCTGTAAACCTACCCTTACGCGGTCCGATCCCGAACTTTGATTCTTAGCCTCTCACCCATACTTCGAAACACTGATTGTAAAAAACCCGCCAAATATTGCCTCAAACGGTCTCTTCAAATAATTTTTAAACACATGTTACTACAGCCTCGGGCTCTGTCACATAAACTACGTTCTCTGTGCAAAATATATTATATATTTTACAAATATTTTGCTATGCTCTGTTCAACAAAATAATAAAAAAAAAAAACAAGTTAATGTATATATGATAGTGCAAAATTATGTTCCTTGCGCTAGCTACTGATGTAAGACCATATTTATGTAAGTTACCTTCATTGTCTATATATGTGTCTGTGCATAGATAAACAAGCATAAATAGATCGCTATCTCGGGCCATTTGACGTTACACTCATTTTAATTTACGAATAGATCACTACATGGCAGCACATGTACATACAATACGTAAATTAACCCCTGGTGTTACTTCTACATTTGTACATAAAATCAATACAGCCCAAAAATCTGAAAAAAATTATTATTTGAAATAAGAACAAAACATACGAAATACAAAATATATTTTCAAATATATCACAGACATACTTTTGAAGAATTATAAACTAAACAGAAATAACTGACTACTATTACTTAAAGTATATTACAGACATATTTTTAAAGTACTACAAATTAAAGAGAAATAACTTATTCATATTAATTACTTAATGACTAATAATAATATATTAAAAACTTAAAAACTAAGAAGTAAAAAGCGCAGGAGTATTGATGATGGAATGACAAATTTAGAAGGAATGACAAGTAATGCAATAATTTAAAAGGATAAAAAGAACAGCACATTTTTAAAAAAGAATGAATACTTTCCAAACAAAATAATCCTAAAAACAAAATATATATATATATATATATATATATATATATATATATATATATTGATATCC